GGCAAACATATATCTGCCTCAGGACATGAACAATATAGCACCTTATGACCCCCTTTTGAGGGTCATGCAACAAATAATGAAACAAACACTTTATTGAGGAACTTACTCATGGTGGTCAATATACAATCTAAAACCTTGAGCTCGAGAACGAACAACTTTGAGAAGTCGAAGTTACATATCACAATTATTTCTAATCTTAGACTCCAGGACATCGTAGTAACAAACCACATTTATGACTCATCCTGACACCAGATAGATCATGGTCACCGAAGGTGTAAAACCTTATCACTGCCATGTGGAAGGTATTCTCCTCCAATCTCAAGGAAAGAAGGTTGATGACCTAGTCCTTGAGGTTGTTACTGTTGAAGAATTTTTTCATTCTTCATTCTCCGATGACTCATAAAAGAAGGAAGAAATATATTTCCGAAACACCTTCAAAAAAAGGATCAACGAGTAGCCCATCAGAAGAGAACACCGAAAACAATTGAGGATGAGAACTTACGATGGAACAAATGACCCTGACGATCACTTAGAATTGACCGATGTTCTAAACTTTCAAGGAGCAAGGGATTATAGGTAATGCAAGATGTTCGTCCTCACTCATAAGGCATGAGCCATGGTATAGTTTAGAGGGATTATGAACAAGTCAATTAATTTGCGGGGAAAAGTTCATAGAATTTCTCCATGCATTTCACGACATTTTAGATGCAATCCAAATCAGTGGAATGTTTGAGATCTATTAGACAAGGAAAAGTCGAGATACTTTGATGTTACATTGAAAGATTCAATAGAAAAGATACACTAGTGAAGAGTGCTGACGACAAGATGATGACATACCTGTTGAGTCTCAAACTCCAACCAAGGTCCGAGTTTTTTGAAAGCATCAAAATCAGAGTCCCTTAAACCTTTAACAGTCCACTGGTGAAGGCTAAAAAATATATATAGTATGAAGAAAAATTAGGAGCCATCAAGGTAATTTATGAAGGAAGGTTTGAAAAAGAAGAGAAAAACAGGATAGGACATGAAGAGACCAGGCATGGACTTACAAAGATATGTGAAGTTAAAAAATATTCTCAAACCAACCGATAAGGAAAAAGGGTACCCCCATTCATGTATGAAGACTACACTCACTAAACACACATAGAAAACACATTCTACAAGAGTGAATCAATGCATAATTTTGTGAGAAGAGAAGATCAAAACATTGAAACCAATCCGAGAACATCCCGAGGTGGACATGTCTCAATATTACTGTTTCCACTAATGTAACAACCATAACACAATCTATTGTGTTCAACTAAAAGAGCTGTAAAAAATATAATTAAGGGAATGTTGTCTAGATTTACCCACTAGGACAAATTCAGATCCAAGAAGAAGAGGCTGGATGATGATAGGCCATAGAGGAAAATGGAAGAAATAACCCAGGTAACCAAAAGAGACAAACATTATGGTGATGAAGAAGAAAACAAATTGAAATCACTTACACTGTATCCGAGGGACATACGGATGGGAAAGTTTACCCATCCTGATGAACATCGAGGAAAAGCTGCAGAAGCCGTGGGAGACACTCCCCATCAACACTAAGATATACCCAGAGGAAGCAAATAATGGAATTGGCTAACTTAGCTAAAATTTCCCAGAACAAACTATGCTAGTTACAACAAGGGTAGTTTCAAGAGGATTCCGTCATTCAAAATGAGACTCTTGTAATTCTAAAGACAAAATTAAGGGAGATGGTGTTGCTGCATAAGAAGAAATCACCAAAAGAACATCTTAAAAGATGCATGACTCCCATTTTCTTCTACGACAATGAGTTAGTTAACGAGATTTCAACCTCTCACGCCATATTAGTGATAAGGGTTGTTGTTCAGTTCTAGAGCCATAAATGGATGTAATTGATGGATTGAGAATAATGAACTATTAGTGCTGATCTCTGTTACAGTGGTGAGGGGTTGGACCTGCAATATTTGCACTCCAATGCCCAAGTCAGTTTAAGATTCAAGATGAGTGTAGTGAAAGAGGATATCAGAAAGTGTACCTTGCATTTCGCCTGAGATGGCTTTTATATCTAAGGTCATGTAGAGTGGATTTGAGTAGGTTTGGGGGGTTTTGGATGACCCATAACTGTTTCCCCCCGGACTTATGGGACGCTTAGAGAGTTGGGGAAACCTTTAGCAATCGAGGCCGGCCTTCAAGGATGTTTTCCAAAGTGAACTAGAAATGAAACACATGGAGTCAGTTGAAAATGTAGTGGGTAACCAGCGCATTAAATGCATTTCCATCAACAAAACGTTTCACTGTTTCCTGCTGACACGTGGAATGAAGTGACTAGCTAGGGTATAATGCTGCTTATAGTTCACTTAAGTCAACTTGAGTTTGCTAGCATTTTTAAGGAGAAATCCAGTCTTTGATTCAGTAACTCCTATTCCTTGTTGATCTGGATGGTTCAATCATCTTTGCCTATAAATAGGAGGAGTTAAGTAATGAGGAATCTTTTCACAATCCTTGACATTTAATGTCTTTGTCTCTTCCTTCCTGAGAGAATATATATGAGCGATTGTAGTTCTTTATTAAAGTTTTTGACTTTTTTCATTACTTCACTTCATTAACCTCGCATAATCAGGCAACCTTCTTAACTTAAGCTTTTACCTTCATCATTTCTGATTTTTTGGTCCAGATGAGCATCATATAATGAGTGTTTCTGAGAGCGACATTTCATCTGCTGTGGGAATGGAGGTATCTCATGATTCTAATTTACCTCCCATTTCTCCTGATCGCATGAACAAAGAAGTTATATCCCTGATCGATGATTCTAATTCGGAAAGGATATATGGGAAATCTCTTGATGAGAGAGCTTACTCATTTGACTCTTTTAAGGCTCTCTTATCAGATGACACCGAGGAGGACGATCGCACTGAGGTCCCTATGCCCCCTCTCGTTTTGACTGAGGCAAAGATAATGTGACTAAGTCGAGGAGAGAACATGCTAAAGATTTCGTCCAAGTTTACTGGAGAACTAATAAATGTGAACCTAGTGACGCTGAGATTAGGAACCACTTTGAGTATCAGAGTAGGCCAAATGCATTTTCTTGGATCAAACCCACCGAGCACTTTAGAGTTGATAAATTGTCTAAAAGAGGTGTGACGTTGGTGGAGTAGGTCGATGCAGTCAAGTACAGTCAGGTGGATGCATAAGAGGTAGGTATATTATCCATTATGAATACCGAGACGACTATAATTGCTATTGATATCATGGTCGGAGACCCTTTGGATTGGTTAATTTTTTTCCTGTGGGTCTGGAGAAAAGAATATGCAGCTCTTTTAACGACTACTCGGTCCCGCTTTATGAATGTTTGTTTAGTAGGATAAAACTGCCACTACCTTTCTCTGACTTTGAGGTGGCTGGCTTAAAGCATTTAAATGTTTCACCTTCCCAACTTCATCCAAGGGTCTGGGATTACATGGAGGTATTTCATTTTTATGTCGAGCATAAGTATTGGAAGCCTTCTCTCAATATTTTTTCAACTAGTTCTATATGGTTCACACCACTTAAGACGACACCCATGACCAAGGGATCATTAGTTTCCACCAGGATGAAACTTAGTTCGACAATTTCACTCGGGACTAGGGAGATTTTCTGAGGCGCTTCTTATTGGTGAATCCCCTTACTCCGGAGATCCATCTCACATCCTGTTACTCCTCAGCTGAATCTTCTTGTTTTTATAAAGGTAGATTATGGAAGTATTATTCATGGCCTCACTTCCACCATGATGTCCATTTCTACTGCACCAAGTTAGGTCCTCTTTCCCCGACGAGGTAACAATACAAGAGGACCTGCATTCTCGATTGACATTTTTGCAACTCATATTTTCTTCTTTTTTTAATGGGGACGGTCCACCCATATATTTAATAGTATTTTTCAAGCTCATTTTTATCGAGAGCCAATCAATCAACCTGAGTTGACTCTTTCTATTAAGTGAGCAAAAGAAACAAGTCACAATACTTATAAAAAGGCCAAATAACCTTGCTAGAGCATTTTTATTAATTTTTTAACTAACGACATTGTTCTCTTAACTCGGGAAATATATCAATTAAAACACACCTAATACAAGACTAAAAAATAATTGATTATTTTAGGATCATAATAACAATGAAACGACAAGAACATCTTCTTTGTAAATTAATGATATTACAAAAAAATATTATTATAATATCACATATACAAATGGTGGTTCTTTTTATTTTTTGTATTTTTTTCTCAAAAGGTTTTCTCTTCTATAAGAGTCATCTTTGAGAGCGTGTAAAATGAACTATTGCATAGAGTCTACAATTATATATATATATATATATATATATATATATATATATATATATATATATATATATATATATATCGTGACTAAATAAGACCTTATAAAATATTTTTCATGGTTAAACAATGGTAAAAAAGAGCTACTATTTATTTTGTCAGTTAAATAATGATTAACATACACATGGCCTTTGAAAAATTAAGATGACATTGTCTCATATGATTAGAAATGAAACAATATGAATTTTATAGCCATGAATGTAACAAATAGGTGTCTACGATTCAAGGAGAGTTCTTCTTCTTTTTTCATCTATTTATTAAGACTTCTCTCGCACTTACTTTAATTTCATTTATTATTTTATAGTTTATATATGCTTCTCTTTCTCTTAGCCTAAAGAGAAAAAACTCATTAATCTCTCCTTTCAATTTAGGCGAGGGCTCCAATAGTCAAACAACGCTTCTACAGAACTCGTGCTTGTCCTTAGATAAGGACTTTGTCATCATATCTTAATTCTCAAGTTGTAATTGCTTGAAATCACATATCTAGTGACATCTCATATCAATGCGCTTCAACCTCAAGTAAAAACTCGAATTCGTGTTCAAGTGAATTGTGCACTGACTATCACAATGCACGACATATTTATGTTGTTCTTTCCATAAATCATGCAAGAATCACTTCATCCATATAAAATTTATTTGCAAGCTTCTGATGTTACAACAAAATTTTCCTTTCTAGTAGACAAAGCAACACTTTTGTAGGTTCGACTGCCACAATCAACTCCCCATAAAAACATTATTAGGAATCCAGAAGTAGATTTTCTAAAATCAATATCTCTCACCATATCTCCATCTGTGTAGCCAATCCGTTGATATTTTCTACTTCCAAAGCAAACTTTAATTTTTGAAGTTCCTATAAGATATCTCAAGATCCATGTCACAACATTTCAATGCACTTTTCTAGATTATTCAAGAATCTACTAACATTACCAATCACATGTATTATATTTTCTCATGTGCGTGCTATTTCATACATTAAGCTTTCAACATTTGAGGCATATGGAACCTTGTGTATATCATACTTTTCAATATCATATATATAACTCTACTTTGAGACAGTGGCGGAGCCAGAAAAATTATGAAGCCTGGGCAACTTTTCAGGTCAAAGCGAAAAAGTCTTCCCAGTCCAAGTATCAAAGAAAGATGGACTATTATCTGAACAAAATAAAATAGAAAAATACTTGGTGCTGTGTTCATCACACTCCTTATGCTCCCACTCGCACCTATCACCCCAAAGAATACCTATTCCTCACATATAACAAACCATTAACCAGTCAGTTTGGGGTGATATTGACAATAAATACGTTATTAGTCTTTTTTTAATGTTGGGATTACCAATAACTTTCTTTTACGATTTTAGTACATGTACGGATTGACACTGAATTAGGCAAAATCTTGGTAAACTGTCATAATTTTCACAAAAGCTACACATTAGAGCTTTGACAAAATCACGGTCAATGTGGTGTCACCAAACATGCACTTAGTAAGTGAAAAAGCCATATAATAAATAACAACCAACCTGTATGAGAATCACATCCATAGGTTCACCAGAGGATGCAAGAGAAGCAAATGGTTTGGGAAATATAGTCGCAGATATCACAACAATTGCTGTTACTAATGGCAGAGTACCCCCTTGGATTCCAAAATACCCTGTAAGAATAGTGGCAGCCTTGCAGATGGCAAAAGACACCGCAAGAGAAGTAGCCATTTGTAACACTGGAAGTTTGTCACCAGACCCAGATAAATTCATAGCATCATTTGACAAGAAAAAATAATCAGTTAGGTGAACCCTCTGATGCACAGAAGCACATAGAAATATTATACAGAAACCATTAAAATGAAGATGTAAATTAACTATACCATCTACTGACGCCGAGGGCTCTGGAGGCACTTTAGAGGCCAATGCAAACAATGCTGAAAAATACAGTGCACAAATAACATTATCTGCAGCTAAGCCGGCAGCTAAAACTGAGGGTTGAACACCAAGAGCATCAGATATGGCAACATAATTGACAGCTGCAGAATATGGAAAACAATAATATCTAAGTTAAGCCATGTCTAAGTTGAATTTTAAAGATACAAATGTTTCCTTCCAGAGCAATATTTATAAATGAACTCGAGGCAATAAAATAAGAGTTACCTCCACCAATATGTCTACCCATGAGAGCAGTTGCTATCTTCCAACTATCCGGACCAAGTGATCGCATTGGAACAAGTAGATATGCTACTACTGTCCCAATTGTAGTTGCAACTGTTATGATAATAATGAACATTAACAATGAACATTAACATTCAGATATATTGCTTTTCAAAATAGCATTTGTAAACTAGAGAAGTAAGTTAGTTACCTGAACCAAGCAAGAAAGGCAAGAGAAGTACGCCGGTGGAGCTGACTACACGGCGGAGATCCGCCCTAAAGAGAAGCAAAGGAATGGCGAGAGGAAGAAGAAACTTCAAAACCAAATCATAAGCAGGAGCATCAACGGAAAGAATCCCCAAGTTACTAGCAGCAAGACACGCTGTAACAACAACAATTTGATACCGATGCCATGGCCAATCTATGGACAAAAATATCCATTTACAAACATAGTATAATCAAGCAATTCATCAAACACTTGGCGGGCAGAATACAATCAACAAAACTAAGCTATATGTAATGCTTACTATGGGTATAACTTTTGAAGAAGAAGATATGAGGCTAATTATAGAGAAACAATGTCTACGATAAAATTAAATCTATCGGATAAGAATGAAACAAACCTCCTTCAAGTTCATTGGAGGCAGTGAAAAGTGAAAGAGTTGCCGTCTTGTTCATCGTATTGAGGGAGAGAAGAGTTCCATGAAAGTGATTCGAGGCGGCCGAGCCTGGGCAGCTGCCCTAGCTGGCCGGACGCTGGCTCCGCCAGTGCTTTGAGATAAGAATAAACTAACTAACAAAGTGGAGTAGAAATTGCCTTTGCCTTTTCCATGTCAAACTGCTCCAATACCGCCTTGATATATTTCGCTTGTGATGGACATAACTTGTGTTCCTTCCAATCATTATAGATGGACATAACAAGAAATGTGCCGTCGGTCCTAATTCTTTCGTAGCAAAAATACTCTTCATTTGTTTCAACTTTTTGATCTTCTCACTATTTTGTTCCTTTCCACGAGAATCCTTACCTCCCCTAAAGGAGATTCCATATGCTGAACCTCACCATGAGGATCCTTGTAGTTCCTCGAGGCAATAACATATGTTGAAACTCGCCATGAGGATCCTTTCCTCCCCTCGAGGCGATGACATATGTTGGACTTTTTTATGAAGACCCTTGTCGCCCATCGAGACGATGACATATGTTATACTTCTCCATGAAGATCCATGTTTCCCCTCGAGAAGACACCTAATATATTACGCCTAAGGGTCACGACCTATATGAAGCCCCTGAGACTTAGTTACTAGTATTGCTTGAGAGCTCGAAAGATGTCTTGTCCAAAAGGTAGCACGCGTCACCTGAGGGACTTATTGTCTCATCAGACAGGCTACACATTATTGTTCCTAGAGAGCTTAGACTCCTAAGGCTAACTAAAATCTCACTTGAGGTACTTAGTGTCTCCTTGGGCGGAACCATATCCAATATACCACACCTAATAGACGCGACCAATATTAAGCCCTAAAGACTTGGTTACTAGTCTTGCTTGAGGACTTTATAAAAGTCCCACTCGAAAGGTAGTATGCCTCACCTGAGGAACTAAGTGTCTCATCAGTAAGGCTATGCATTATTGTTCTTAGAGAGCTTAGACTCCTAAATCTAAATAAAACCTTGCTTAAGGGACTTAGTGTCCCCTCGGGCGGGACCAGATACAATATACCATGCTTAAGAGGTGCAACCTATATCAAGCTCCTAAGACTTGGTTACTAGTCTTTCTTAAGGGATCGATAGAAGTACTTCCCAAAAGGTAGAACACATCGCTTAAGAGACATAGTGTCTCATAAGTTAGGCTAATCATAATTGTGCCTAGAGAGCTTAGATTCTGAAGACTAACTAAAACCTCGCCCGGGAGACTTAGTGTCCCTTTAGGCGGGACCAAATCCAATATACTACGCCTAAGAGGCGCGACCAATATCAAACCCCAAAGACTTGGTTACTAGTCTTTCTTGAGGGCTCGATAGAAGTACCACCTAAAAGGTAGCATATCTTACCTGAGGGTCTTAGTGTCTCATCAACAAGCTATGCATTATTGTGCCTATAGAACTTAGACTCATAAGGATAACTAAAACCTTGTGTAGGGGACTTAGTGTCCCCTCGGATGGGACCAAGTCCAATATACCATACTTAATGGTACAACCTATATCAAGGCCCGGAGACTTGGTTACTAGTCTTGCTTGAGGGTTCGATAGAAGTCCCGCCTAAAAGGTAGTACGCCTCGCTTGAGGGACTTAGTGTCTCATCATCCAGGGTATGCATTATTGTTCCTAGAGAGCTTATACTCCTAAGGTTAACTAATACTTTGTCTGAGGGACTTAGTATCCCCTCGGGTGGAACCTGATCCAATATGCCACGTCTCTGATGTGCAACCTATATCAAGCCCCAGAGACTTGGTTACTAGTCTTGCTTGAGGACTCAATAGAAATATCACCCAAAAGGTAGTACACCTTGCCTGAGGGACTTAGTGTCTCATCATCCAGGCTATTAATTATTATGCCAAGAGAACTTAGAATCCTAAGGCTAACTAATACCTCACCGGAGGGACTTAGTATCCCCTTGGGCAGGACATGATCCAATATACCACACCTATTAGACACAACCTATATCAAGCCCCAAAGACTTAGTTACTAGTATTGCTTGAGGGCTAGATAGAAGTCTTTCCCAAAAGGTAGCACACCTTGCTTGAGGGACTTAGTGTCTCATTAACCAGGCTACAACTAGAGATCTTAAACTCTTAAGTCTAACTAAAACCTCGTATGAGGGGCTTAGGGTCCCCTCAGGCGGGACCGGATCCAATATACCATGCCTAAGAGGTGCGACCTATATCAAATTCTAGAGACTTGGTTACTTGTATTACTTAAGGGTTCGATAGAAGTCCCACACGGAAGGAAGCATGCCTCGCTTGAGGGACTTATTGTCTCATCAGCCAGGCCACAAATTATTATGCCTAGAGAGGTTAGACTTCTTAGGTTAACTAAAACCTTTCCCGAGGGACTTATTGTCCCCTTGGGCAGGACCAAATCCAATATACCACGCATAAGAAGTGAGACCTATATCAAGCCCTAGAGAATTGGTTGCTAGTCTTACTTTAGGGCTCGATATAAGTGAAGGTAGAGAAAACACAAGAAAAGAGTGTTTGAATTGGGTTTATAGAAAACACCCCCTTTAGAAATTCTAATCACTCAAATGATAAAAGCTATAAAGACAATGAAGAGTAAAGAACACAAGTTATTTATCCAGGTTCATCTTAACAAGGTTAATCCTGTTCATCCCTCAAGGTGATTTTCCTTTAACAAGGACTTAATCTACTATAACCAAACTGATTACAAATGCACGGGAAATGGCGGATGACTAATAGACAATGACACGTTCAGTGATCCAACTTAACAAATATAACATTCATTGACCCAATAGAATAAGATCACTTAAGATCTCCTATCAAGATTTTCCATAATGAGCAGCAACCACTGTCTTCTTAAGATCAGACCTTCACTCAGTCACTCAAGGAACCTTTCAATGATATGTTCAGTGATCCGATTTAACTAATATAACAATCTTTGACCCAATAAAATCAGATCACTTAAGATCTCTTGTTAGGATTTTCTACAATGACTCGTAGCCACTGTCTTCTTGAGATTAGACCTTCACTCAATCACTCAAGGAACCTTTCAATGATATGTTCAATGATCCGATTTAAAGGACATAACAATCATTGACCCAACAAAATCGAATAACTTAAGCATCTATTAGGATTTTCTACAACAACCATCAGCCACTGTCTTCTTGATACCAGACCTTCATTTGGTCACTCAAGGAATCAATCAACAACGAATGATAAGGTTTTATGTTTACATGATTGTTTCTTCTAAGAAGATTACGCAAATGATTAAACACATATTGTTTAACACATTTTCGAGCAACAACTCTTGTGTTAAAACAATTTACATGAAGAAATTAAAACTATAACATAATGCGAGAAACAACTCTTGTGTACATTACAATGTTCTATCAATATGTATTTGATCAAAAGTTGAGTAGCATCTTGTAGTGTTCTTCTTCTTCATCTTCTTGTTGAGCAAGTTACGAGCAATAACTACTTGCTTCTTATAAGATCTACCAAGATGTATATGATGATAGTATGTGTATCATCTTTTAGATTTATTCTTCTTTATCTTTCTTTCTTTTCTCTCATTTCTGTGTAGTGGTCTTCAACATGTTTAGCATTGCAACTTTGACAGCTTCAGCATCCGCGACTTTTCAGCTTGATGGCCAAAAGAGCTTTTCTTCAAATCTGTTATCTTCTTTTATAGCCTTTAGAGAGAGAGAGAGAGACGTTGTGAGGATTAAAAATCCTTTCCGGCATCAAAAGTTAGTTCCCAACAGACAGAATAAGGTGTAAGAGTTTGGACAGTACAGAGTGATACTATTCATCATCTGTCACTTTACAATGTTTAACTTTAACCTTATCTTCAATAAATGTTTTTCTACTTAGCTTGTAGACATAGATCCATTAATGGTAGAAATATAATATGGGTAACCCAACTATTTGTTCCCAACGGTCATAATGAGAGTGGTTGACGATATAGTACGAAAGGACCGTCCTTACGCCACCCTAGATGGTAGAAGTCACAAAGCAATTTTTGTACCTTTTTACACTATAACACATTAAATATTTTGAACTTCTTCTTATCTTCATAGGCTTCAGATAATTTGAATTTTTGAAGCTTGTTGTAGAATAATCACTCTTAAGTCTTCGAACCTAAGTCTTGGAGTCTTCAGAACTTGTCCCAGCAGAACCTTGTTTCAGAGTCTTTAACACTTGGTCGTAATAACTTTTTTTTCTTCAAATCATCAAAACTTGTTCAACAGAAACTCATCTTCATAATATTCAGAACTTGGAACACACAAAGGAAAAGCTTTAGAAGACCTCCAAAGCTTAACCACAAAGTCACAATCAAAACCTCTTGTACTAACATTCCTAAGAACCGTTGCATATGACGAATTCCATAATATTGACTTAAACTGTAACACCTAACCACATGTTTTCTTCTAGTAGTGTTTATGTTCAGAACCTAATGACGTCACACGCCTTGATACCAGAGTTAGAACATTACAACAACAACTATACACTAGAACAAAACCATTAAAGTATACAATTGTTCTTTATGATACCATGTAAATTTGTCATCAAAATCTTAAGGCCAGATGTAGAAACACTTCTTGTTCTTACAATAAGTCTCTCCTAAAACGGTAAAATGCCTCACCTGAAGGAATTAATATCTCACCAGCCAGGCTATGTATTATAGCGTTTGAAGAACTTAGATTCCTCAAGCTAATCAAACTCTCGCATGAAGGATTTTGTGTCCCCTCGGGCGAGATTATTTCTAATAAATCAGGCCTAAGAGGTACGAAAATATAGATCCCTAAAGACTTGGTTGCCAGTCTTGCTTGAGAGCTCGATAAAAGTCCCACCTAAGAAGGTAAACACCTCGCCTGAAGGACTTATAATCTCTTCGGTCGAGCTATATAAAATTTTGTCTAAAAGACTTGGATTCTCTCGACTAAATTAATTCCTCGTCTGAGGGAATTATAGTCTGTTCAACTAGCCTATACACAGTAGATCTAGAAT